TCTTTCCCTCATTCCCCTTTAATTACTTAAATTCACTTGAAATTCTTCTTGAGTTTCCTTACCTCTTGTTTATATGGACAAAGAGCTACATTAGTATTTCTGCTGTAAATTTTTTGTGTTTGTGGAACTCCTTCATCTTATACTTCAGAAATTCATGCTTAACTGAGTTCAGTTAACTTCTTCCTTCATAGTTGAAAAGCTACCTAGTCTGCGTGGGTTTTTTGGGAAAGAAACTCTGAAGAGTAATACATTATCTCTGGGAACACACGGTATTTTATTTAAGCCAGTTTTTTGTCATTTCATCAGCATAGTTCATGGGCAGCTTGTTGTCTTTGGTGTGGATCATAAAAGGCCACTGAAAATTAAGCAAGTTAAAACAGTCAGTCTTAAATTACTTGACAAAGCTTGTGGGAAGTTAGGGCAAAGTGAGGAGAGAACCTGCGTCATTTTCATCCTGTGTTGATGCTCAGGTTGTGAGCACTTTTCAGGGTGAGAACAGTATTTCTGTTGCTTATTCAGGGCTTGGGTGTACCAGGCTGCGTAAGTTGCTGGTTGCACTCCTTGCCCTTCAGGGCAAGGCATGGAAGGCAGCATTTTGAACATGCCATTTTTATTTCCTCTTGCTCAGTCAGGTTTGTGGAGAAGTTGAAATTTATATTCCTACAACCACCTTTGTTTACAATAGTATTAACTGCCACATCGCTCTAATTTGTGACCTGTTAAGCTTGCAGCCATCAATCAATCACCAATAACTGCTTGGAGGCAACAGCTGGCAATAACCCTCGGGAATGTACAGGGCAAGTGCTAGAACATGCTTTCACGGGGGCTTAGGATTCCACTTGAGCACGGAGAGGGATGTGGAACAGTGATTTGGCAACCTGAACAAAGGAGATATTTGCTGTCGCCTTTTCAGATCTCTGACTCTGGAGCACAGGTAGTTTTTTTTTTTATCAATCCTCCTGGGCAAAGGGAAGGGGTTTGAAAGGGCCAGTTGAATCTGGCGAATCCACGAATGGTTACAGGACTGGTGCCACAGCTAGGGGTTAGGCTACTTAGACCATGGGACTCACTTTGAGAAACCTGGTCTGCTGGGGACTGGTGGCGTCCATCTGTCAGAGAGGAAGAGCACCTGCGAGGATGGTGAGGCCCTGGCACAGGTTGCCCAGAGAAGCTGTGGCTGCCCCTGGCTCCCTGGCAGTGTTCAAGGCCAGGTTGGATGGGGCTTTGGGCAACCTGGGCTAGTGGAGGGTGTCCCCGCCCATGGCAGGGGGGTGGGACTGGATGGGCTGTGAGGTCCCTTCAAACCCAAACTATTCCATGATTGTATGATTTTTTCCCCTTTCAGTCTTCTGCCCAAGCAATTGAATCTCCTTTGGAACTTAGAATTACCATCAGTGATGTCAGATGGGTTTGGTATCTTGAGTCATATCTGGTGCCCTGGAATATTGCCTGTGAGTCATGGAAATTATTTATGTTTGGTAAACATGCCCAGAAATGAGAGAAGATATGATAAATACACATCCACTGGCTCTATTATCAGGCCAGATTGTGGGTAATTGTCAGTATTTGAGGACTCAATTAATCCAGTAAAGCTAGAAAGTCTTTGAATATGAGTATGACAAAGGAAGAGAATATAGAGGGATGCATGGGCACTGGGTGTCTGTAGTCATAGCTTTTATTTTGTCCCTGCAATACACATACCTGCCTTCCTGTTTAAACTTTTCTTCAGTTAAAACCTCTTGGCATTGTCATGGTTTAGCCCCAGCCGGCAGCTGAGCACCCCAGCGCCGCTCACTGTGTTAGTCCTTGCCATCATGCATTGTATTAGGAGCTCAAGTTTAGCTGATTGTTAGTGTTACCTACAAGTTCTTCTTGGTATCCACCACCTACAGCAGTGTTTCTTTATAAATACAAGCCTTAGTTTTTTTGCAGTTCAGTATGATCAGCTGAATGCTTTCAGTCTGTACCTAGTCTATTAGAGTTAAAAGCACTGTCCATTGGAAATGGTTTTCTTTCTTAGTCTTATTAGTTAGTATTGTGTTATCAGTAGTTATTTCCTATAGTATAGTGTTTCATTCATTTCAGTGTTGTGGGTGGCAGAATATTTGCATCAGTTCTCATTAGCATAACACTGTAGCACTGTAGCTGAAATTAAGTAAATTAGATCATGTTAGAAATGGCTGCCAAGGGGGAAGGGGTTTTTTGTGTGTGGTGAGAAGCTTCCAGGAAATGGATGCTGATGGGATCCCTAGTGAGGGCAGAGAAGGCGAGACAATGAGTAGCAAAAACTTTGAAATGGTAATATAAGTGGAAGATAAGTCTGGATTTGCTAACCAAATCTCTATATTAACTTGTGCCTCAAGGGGAGAATCGGATCAGCTGAGAGTGAATGGTGAATATTAATGGTTGATGATTGACAATTAAAAGGTAAATTCTACCTTCTGTCCTCTCTCCTCTAAGTACTTCGAGAAAGGAATCCAGTTTTATCACTGCACATTATCTGGTGCAGTAGGACTTTAACCATGACTGTAACTTCTGTTTGCCTGTGAAATAGCGTGTAAAAGGCATTACAGAACAGCAAGATGCTGTAGATGCTGGAGGAAGAAACCCATATACATCTTTGGATGCTGCTACATATCTGAGGAAAAACAATATTATGGTAAACTTTGCTGCTGGGCTTGTTGTTCATCTTATATCTATACAGGTCTTCTAGCATTAAGTACTTCCACATCCCTAGCCATTCTCGTGTTAGGCTTTAAAGCCTTGCTTTGTCAGGTCCCCCCCTCCCCTCCCTTACCTTGTTGCTTTCTTAGTGCTCACCTATATTTTTAATATTAGGTGTGGATATACTTGTGCTGGGTCAACTTTGCATTTATTAACTAAATAAATTATTGTAGCAGTTTGAATTGTGTAATCCATTCCTAAGTCTGTTCTCAACTTGCACCTTTCCCTTTGTTTCTCTCTGCTTGGATTAGTTTCCTCTCTTGAGTTTTCTGTCTCATCACCGTCAGAAAATTCTTCCAGAAAGTTGTGTCCTCCAGAATGTTTTTTTGTATCCTTTTTGTATGGTTGGAGGCTTTTTTGGTGGTTGAATGAACTACAGGTATCATAAACATAAAAATCTAACGTATTGTTGCCAAAAGGCAGCTTTTACTACAAAACAGCCTTTCTGCAAAAGAAATTTTCCCTCAAATATTCCCAGGGGTTGCTGCTTACATGGCCTACAAGGTACTCACGTTTGGGTATGTCCCATTCCTGAAATATATGTGCACAATCCTATTCTGGAATGCTCATTTAATTAAAAGTTAATAAGCAAAGTTTGTAATAATCAAAGGAAGGATGCATGGTAATGATCTGGTCTTGCTGACTTAGAACTCACATCTGTCTTCATCCTTCACATACAGGTGAATCAGCGCAATGTCCCAGGGATCGATAGTGCCTACCTGGCCATGGATACAGAGGAAGGTGTGGAAGTTGTTTGGAATGAGGTTCAGTTTTCTGAGCGGAAGAACTTTAAGCTTCAGGAAGTAAGTTGATGTGTTTTCCAAGAAAATGTGGGAAATATACCATACACGAGGGTGGGATTATAGGTATTGGTGTCCTTTCATGTGGATTATTGGCTGGATTTGGAGTGCTGTGCTGCTCGAATGTAGCAAATTCAGTTTAAGCCTGGCCTGTGCAGAAAATGCGACTGAGTACTGTTGTGCTATTTCCACGGGCTCTTGTGTTGATTTGGTCTTGGTGATCAAACCATGCTCAGCTGATGAGATGCAGTGTAGGATGAAATCAGATGCTGTTTGTTCTTAGTATAGAGCTTGAAGTGTACAGTGTTGTTTAAGGGGACTAATAACAAAGAAGAAAGATAGATGTGGGCTGATGAGGTCTCTGATGTAACAGTCTTTGTCTTTCTGATGTTAAGGAAAAAGTTAAAGCGGTGTTTGACAACTTAATTCAGCTGGAACATCTGAACATTGTGAAGTTTCACAAATACTGGGCTGATGTGAAGGAGAATAAGGCCAGGGTAAGTAAAGTGAACAGTCTGTTGGGTTTTCTCACTATATGTCCTGTAGGTAATTAGTGAAGCAGAGGGTAATGTCTCATACTACCGCTACAGGTGATCTTCATCACTGAATATATGTCTTCAGGGAGCTTGAAACAGTTCCTGAAGAAGACAAAGAAAAACCACAAAACTATGAATGAAAAGGTAACTTTTTTTCCTTTCTCCCCCCCGCCTATTTTCACTTAGTGCCATCAGCCTCTGGAAAGCTCTTTCAGCAGAGAATCCTGATGAGAAGGCAACCTGGTGATAACATGTGGCTGCGTTTCCTTTTTATTACTGTAAACTGGTTTAGTTGCAGGTTATCTTGGACAGCTGTTCTGTGCTTTTTGCTTTGTTTCCAGCAGTTCTGTAGCTTCATATGTATGGTGTGACAGGCACATCCCTTTCCATGTGTGCATACAGGAAAGAGGGAAGGCATCTGTGCATGAGGAGTTAGGAGGGAACACATGTTTCTTGATCCATACAAATATGTAGAAACTAAACTGAGCATGAGAGCACCAATCCTCTAAGTTTTTACTTCCTACACACCTGTACTGGGTAAAAACTAAGATGCCACACAATGGAGCATATATCCTTTCATATAAATGGGCTATGAATCACAGAACTAAGGATTAGTTACTCTTCCTTGAATGATTTTTGTCCTTTTTGCTCCTGTATCTGTAGGCCTGGAAGCGATGGTGTACCCAGATCCTCTCTGCTCTCAGGTATGCAAGTTACTGATCTTGTGGTTTAGCCATCTATTTAAGTGTAGCCTCTCTTATGCTAGAATATTAAAAGCTGTAAACATACATGCTGCCAAACGTTAGCAAGGTTCGTGGAATGGAGCCTGCAGAGCGTTTTGTCACCCAGCCTGATTTTTATCCCAGTCATGGTCTACAGAGCGTCAACTGGATCTAACCACAGCCAAGACGATGTTGCAGAGAAGTCTCAAATAAATCAATTTCCATATGAGAGGAGTGAGGAAATTTTTCTTAGTCTGCAGCCCTGTAGCATGAAGTGGATTCATAATTGTGGTGTGATATGGTTAGAAGTGTATATGGATCTATATGTTTCTTGATGATGCAGATCTTCTGCAGCCATCTTAGTCCAACCCAGTTGAATGGAATGTGGGGGGGGTTTGTTTGTTTGTTTTGGTTTTAAAGACTCTTCTCTACCTGAGCCAGAGTTTGTGTGTAGCTAGTAACAGCCTTGGAAAAACAATATCCCAGATGTTAGAGCAAGACTCCCACTCCATAGAGAAAATTCTGTCCCCATTTGGCTAAATATAGCTGTTGATGAATAGCTGGGGTTCTAATAAGCTTTTGGGAGTTGACAGTCCTTATTTGTGCTGGCTGCTAATGTAAAACCAAGCAGAGCAAGGCACAAAACCAGGTAGTACCTGGTACTCAAAAGTACCTGGAACCCCAGCACTGAAAAACTTTGCTTGTGCCTGTTGGAAAACATAACCAATCATGTTTGTACAGCACTGAGTGCATTTTTGATGCCTGTTGAGTAGGGCCAGAATAAGGCTCTGATATTTTTGGTATAAAATTGGAACCCTTTTAGTACCCACCTAGCAGTACTGGGATGGATGAAATGGTTTCTTTACCTTGATACCCTGAGTTTCTTGGGAACTGATCAGAGAAAACTTTCTTTTTTCCCCTCATGTTCTGGAGGTAGTTAGTTAGAGACAATCACTTAATTTTAATGATTCTCTCCTAGCCTAGAGGCTGATGTACAGTCACTTAATTTTACCTCCCTGCTATTGTAAATCCCCGGCACATGTCCTTTGCCCTCCTGTTCTCTTCTGATGTTGCTTGAGACTGGGAAGGGAGGAAGACAGGGGTTCCTGGCCTCAGCCTCTGTAGTCTCCTGACCAGTGCTCTGTTCTGAATCTCTAGCTACCTCCACTCCTGTGATCCCCCAATCATCCATGGTAACCTGACCTGCGACACTATCTTCATTCAGCACAACGGACTGATCAAAATTGGGTCAGGTAAGGCTTGGGGAGGTGATCTTTGCCTATGAGACAAACTACTCAGATAAAGGCATCTAATCCTTTCGAGGTTATCTGGCATGATAAGCATGTATATACGTGTGTTCCTCCACGTCAGTTGGACCAGAGATTGGTAGTGAATTCACTGTTGGTTGGACCACCTTCAGGCACAGGAAGGACTGATACTGGATACTGTTTCCCTTGTTAGCCCCTTCCTCATTTCTTGATCTCAAGGGACTGACCCAAGAAACGGTGCTGAAACTTTCAAGTTTTGTATGCACATTATCCTTGGATTCATCTGCTCTGCAGTCTTTTTCATGTTAACACGCACGGAGTTCTCTTCCCAGTGTTGTGAAGCTTTAAGAGCTATCTGGGGAGCTGTGTCCACTGAGGCCACACGAGTACTTCTTGTAGCAACCAACATTTATAATCAAGGTTATAGACTCTGGCTGCAGCAAGCTGCTTGTCTTGGCATCCTCATCCAGCATCACTCACTTTGGCCTGCACCTCAGGATGCTAGCTTGACTTCAGCCTGTTTGGCAAAGACATGCTCTGTTCAGGCAGCCACCTGGGCTGAAATGTTTTATTTCATAAGAAGTGAGTTTTCTGGCAGTGCAGTGCATCCTTGCATACTCTGGGTTTTTTTCACCTTTGCTATTCCTGTGACTTTAAATCTGTCTGCAGTAAGGATGCACTAAGTTGTACCACATATCCTTTCAAGTGACAGCTTTGCTATCTGTTGTCCAACTTGTGCAAGCATTCTAAAACCCAGAGAGTGTGCACTTGCTGTCCTGTAAGCTTTTGCCTGTGTGAATTCTTGGTTTGATGTTGACAGTGTACAGGAAAGAATGCTCTGCTTCACCTGTCATCTAAAAATAGCCTCTCTTCATAAACTGCAGACCTCTGCGGCTTTTCTTTCTATGAATGAACTCTTGTATTGTCTCTTTGTTCCAGAATTGGGGTCTCTGTTCTCTCTAACAAACCTCTGATACATGCTTGTACCCAAGGAGACTGGGTCATGGCAGAAAGAACAGTCAGTTCTCTATCTGCCTGGAAACTTGGCGACACCTTGCCCTTCATACAGGCTGATGATATCATGGGATTCACTTTATTATCTTTCCCCAACTTTGTGGGAGGAATTTCCAAGAGTTGTGTGCATCGGATACCTGCATTTAATTCAGGCCACTTACGGAAAGTCTATTGTAGACTCGAGACATAAGAGATCCTTCTTTTTCTAGTTCATTTTAAGTATTATACAGCTGCAGTCTTTCTAATTGGTAGCCAGCACTTTGTGAAAACAAACCACTTAAAGTTGGTATCTAGAGCTGTGGCTTTTTACCAGAGGGAGGTTCTGCAGATCAGCAAATGTGACATTCTTAAGAGCATTCAGAGTCCCAGTGGTGCCATTCAGAGGCTGTCTAGAAGAAAGGTGGCTCTTTGAGTGTGGGTCACAAACAGCTGCCTCGACAGAGTTACACCTCTGCCTGTGCCCTCCAATTCCATAGAGCTTTGCTTCCATTAGACATGGTGGGAGGGACAGAGGCAATTAGACTGATGTGCTCTTTCAAAGAGTTGCGAGTGTCTGTATGCTCTAACAGCTGTATCCTCAGCAAGACTCCTTGGTAGTCCTGAAGAGGACACATGCTGGAAGTGTGACTGCACAGGAACAGTGCTTAACTGCAGTTATTCCTGAGCAAACGTTCTTCTACTCCACAGTCGTAGGCTGTCTTGCTCGTGTTGTGTTCAGAAGTGAAGTGATTTCTCTGGGAGATTCTGGTCTGTCCTTAAATAAAAAAGGAAGCAAGCATGAGTGGATTGTGGTCGCAAGAGGAATCCTCCCGATGTGAAGGCTATGGCTCCAGTGCAGGCTGGAATTAGTTGCCCATGTTGCAGGATATATTCTTATTCCTGTAGTGCCTACCCAACTAGGAAAGTCAAAACTACGTCATCAGAACTGCTGGATGTATTCCAGCTTGAGATTCTCCAGTACTGCTGACTGTGCAGTAGCCAGACAGGCTATTTTCACGTTCGGGCCCTAGAGTGACAGTTGCTTTGGGGTCACTGGCAATGTTGAACCCATGTTTATTGCTTCATGAGTTATTTCTTACAGCTGGCTGGTATCTGAAAACTTTCCTGTGTTTACTTAAAAGAAGCGGGGCAGTAATTCAATATTTAAGGGGAACAGTGATTCAGTGTGCTATGATCTGCTCTTTTATTCTGTCTCTGTCCCCAGCACCATTCTGGGCTATGCTCCTGAAAGCTCCTCTTCCCTTTAAGCAAAAGAGACTACTTGCTGAATGTGGGGCAAAAATTTGGGGAAAGGAAGCTGCTATTGTATTCTGCAAAACATCCCCCTGTTTGCTAGGTGAGGAAGTACTAGAAGAGTAGTGTCACTTGTGTAACATTGGAAATGGCTGGTATACTTGTTCCTGTAGCAGCTGCTTAGGTGTGGGAGCAGCCCTTCTGCCTTCACTCCTTGCTGCTCCTCTGGATTGCAGAAGCACATGCGTTAGCAGGACTGACCACTGTTTTTCTTGTTCTGAATGTAATTCTGGAGCAGTATTCTTTTCTCTATTCTTTCCCTCCCTAGAGCCACCTGTGTACTGCAGGAAGAAAAAAGATTAATTTAGTAGTAGAGTGTTGTTACTATTGCATTCAGTTTTGGGAAGAGGGATGAAATCCTTATATGCTGGGGGTCATCTGTGGAAGAAAAAGGGAGTGGGAAAGAGGAAGGATTTCTTATGCTGCTTAAATGCAAAAGCCATCCATAATCCATTAATTTACTAACTTTTCTTTTTCAGTGCCATAAAGTGCAGGGTTAATGGATTTAAAGGATGAAAAGTGTCAAATGAGTGGGGAGCTTTGGAGAAGTTGTGATGAGGGAAGGAAAGACACCCATGGTTCTTAAACTTGCCACTGGTGTTCCCAGAGACTGGAATGTTCCAGCTGCTTTCTGGAGTTGTGGTCAGATGAAAATACTCCTTGTGAGAGGTCCAAGTTGTTTTCTGCGTGCTCTTCCACAGGATCCATGTGCAACACCGTGTTGCATCTATGCATATCTGTACTGTCTAACAAGTGGACCTGCAAAGGGAACATGTTGCAAGATTTTTACTGTGACAGGTTGAAGGTACTCCTGAGTGTGAAGGAGAACAGTGGGTTTAGGCAGGGTGTTCGATGCTGCTGCTTGTTTGTTAAGCAATGTTTGGAGATGTTTCTTGTAGTTCTCATTGGGAGTGTAAGAACCAGTCACAAATGGAAAGAGGAGATGGGTTTGAATTAAAAATCCTTTTGGGCAGCTCTTGGAGTGCTCCAACAGAACTGAGGCCTCAAACTGGAGTGTCTTGTAATGTCGTCTTGTGCTCCTGAGACATGGCCACGTATTACCATGTGCCAAATGAGACACGCAGTAGAGCACAGGGGAAAGCTTAGTGTTGTGCTAGTATATTTGCAAATAGTGCCTCCAGGCACTCGGCCGATGCATGCGCTTTCCTGTCTTCAATGCACCTGACCTCTAGGTTTCATTATATATTTAACTGCAGTCTGTCCAGAGTCTCTTTTTAGTTCCAGGCCAAGGTGCCAGGAGACTGAGTCTTATTTGGTACTAACTCTGCTGTTAAATTATGTGGCCAGGTATGTAAGTATGGGTTCTGCTGCCAAGATCCATGCCCAGGAGAAGCTGCTGGGATATAAAAGGTAGTTGCCTGCTGAAGAGGATGCTAAGGGACTGTAGAGCACTCACAGAAGGAACAGTATTTCCAGCTGCTTAGCTGCAGTGTCAGCTGTAATCTTCTACTTGGTCAGAGGTGTCTTGTCTCCCTTGCCCAGTCTGGTTCTCAATTAGAAACATTAATGTTGCTTATGTAAATTTATTTTAAAAAGTGGCTAGAGGCACGGCCAGATTCTCAGTCTTGTCCAGGTTTTGCCATGATTCTGACCTAGCTGTCTCTATCGATGTTAAGTGCTTGCTGTTTCATCAACTCATTGACTTTATCTCGTTTTACTTCCCGCTTACGGGCTGCTCTGTTGCCAACAGTCTTTCATAGGATATTTGCTAATGGTGAGCAAACTTCTCCGGTCCTGTGATGTGGCCACCACTATATATGTCATGTACATTATTTTATTTGTGTGTGTGTGTGTATATATATATTTTTATATATATGTGTGTGTGTATATTTATATTTGTAACACACACAAACATACACACTCCCTCTATCTTATTTATACAGTCTTCCCTTGCTATAAGGCTGGTATGTAAAACTGTTCAGCTTAGGTGCATCCTACTTTGAGACCTTATGTTCTGTGCTGGGATGCAAACTGTTCCTTGTACTCTCAGCCAAAGCCTTACAGCGAGGGAGCACTGCCCTTTGTGAAATCTCCTGATTGTTAGTTCTCTTCCTTTCCTTGTTCTTAGAGCGTGCTAGTCCATGGACCCTAGTGCATGCTGGCTCCCGCATGTCAAGCCAAGTGGATGCATTGTTCTGAGCTCTTCCCAGCTGAACTTTCCACAGACGTTAGACTCTTTCCTGCTACTGCTCTGCTAGACTTGGCTGGACACCAAACCTGGACTAGCCTTTGCTTTGTGCTTGGCTATCCAGTTGCTTGCTTGTAGTTTTAGCTCCGTAGATGTTTTGTTATTAAGATGAATGTTTCAGTGAATGTATCTGGCTCCTGATGGCCTGAGAGACATCCCATCCTGCCCAAATGAGTCCCTGATTGTGAAGTAACATTTACTTATTAATGTTTCCCCAGACAAAGCTCTTTTTTTTTGGGGTACTTGTGCATATGAAGAGGGAATTGGGCTGGTGGGGGCTAGAGAAGGATTTGAATGCTGCAATTTGTAAACCTATTAAATAGAACACCACATTTAGAATCACAGAATGGTTTGGGTTGGAAGGGACCTTAAAGGCTGTCTAGTTCCAACCTCCCTGCCATGGGCAGGACACCCTCCACTAGATAAAGTTGCTCAAAGACCCATCCATCCTCACCTTCCTCGCTTACATTTGAAATAATTACTTTTTATTTTTTCTGCCATCAGGGTTGTTCTTGATGGTTAGAATCATAGAATGGTTTAGGTTGGAAAAGACCTTTAAGATTGTAAAGTCCAACCATTAACCTAGCACTGCCAAGTCCACCACTAAACCATGTCTCTAAGCACCACATCTACACATCTTTTTAAATACCTCCAGGGATGGTGACCCAGCCACTTCCCTGGGCAGCCTGGTCCAGTGCTTGACAGCAGTTTTGGTGAAGAAATTTTTCCTAATACCCAATCTAGTTTGTTTCTACTGAGTTGGGAACCTACCAGCTGTCAGCGAGAAGTGGTGGAAAGGGAAGGGCCTGTCCAAATGGACTCTGTGCCTTCTTCATGTTTGCAGGAGGAGGATGTGGCACCAGCACAGTAAAGGCTCTCTCAAAAAGCTAAATCTGGGATCTTACATAGCTGAGGGGGACTCATCTTACATAGTCTGGGTTTGCAGCATTAGGAGGACAGATTTCCTTGGGCATGGCTTTTTTACCAGAGTGCTGCAAGCTGGGCAGGATGGGCTGTTGCAGTCGTGTGCGGCAGGCTGCCTTTGTGGGGTGGTAGAGGCAAGGTGGCAACCAGCAGCAGACAGACTGGTCGAGGAATGAGCCCACAGAATGGGAACATGACTGAGAAGGGCTTCAGCGTGGGTTCAGTCACGCTGGTGGCAACAAGACTTAAGACTAGCAAACCGTTTCTCAGACATCAAGTCACCGCTGTGAGCAGAACAAAAGGCCGTTGTTCTGGCAAGGCAAGAAGGGCTTCAGCCAGTGGTCTCCAGGCTTAAGAAGATGCTGTGGTATCTCACATGTGCTGAAACAACATCAGGCGGCCTTGAAATACTGAGCTTTCATGGCTGTTTTCTTTCAGAACTTGTTTTAACAGTACTGTTGTACCACTATGTACTGTTCATATGAGAGCTGGAAACTGTTTAATCCTTAGATCTTGAACAGTGATTTGGGTTTGAAAACACTAAATATAGGGTATAAGTCTCCTGTTTTGCTTGAAGATTGAGTTAATAAGGTTGTGAGTGACATGCTTTCATAACTTGTATTATTTTAGTTGTTACTTCACTCTCTTTTATTACCTGATGTTTGAAGACTTGCTGTGCTGTTTTTCACATCCTTAACAGACACCTGAGACAGGTGATGTAGAAATAAAACAGGGGTTACTAGGATGTCTTGGATCTGGTTTTTGCTGTGGTGTTTTGTTTGTTTGTTTTAACTAAAGCAACTATGGCTTAGAGAAAAAATAATAGTTGAAATCAGTGGACATAGAAAAACTTGTCATAAAAATGGAAAACTTTTTCACCCATGTTGGCATTCAGTTAGGAAGATTTAACATGAATTTATGTAGTTTAGCTTCTAGCTGTACAGTTTTATGTGTAGAATCGAGCATGTCCTCTACCAAGCCACATAATTTCAGTTGCTTAGAAACTTGGCAAAACTAAGGTAGACTTTCACAAGCAGAGCAAAAGGTTTGTCTCTGACTACAGGTGCTGCTAGGAATGAGGTCTGGCAGATGAATAGTTTTGAGTGCAACTTTTTTTTTGCCCAGAATGCTTCAGAAAGTCTAAAGTGGTATGAAGGTTACTGTTTTTAAAGGCTTTGTGTCAGATTGGTCTATGTTGTCTTTGAGTCTCCCAGTGGTGTGCAAGCCTGTCATAAAGGGAAGATTCTCCACATTTGGATCATTCTTGAAAAACTCTGTTGAGCAAACTGGGTGGAAAAGCATGAGGTTAATTTCTAATTGTAATAAATTGACAGGCATCTCATGATCTAGCTGCTGTTATAATGGCAAAAATGGTTACCAGGGACCTGCCTTGATTTTTGTATATAAGCACACACTTCAAGGCAGGAGAAGCAGGCATAGGTAAGTGACAATCAATGGGCTTTAATTAGTTTTTGAAATTGCAACTAATATCTGACTGAATGTGCGTGTTATGATTTAGTGTGTGCATTTGGGGCAAGGGGGTTTGTTCGAGGGTTGTTGGGTTTGGGTTTTTTTGGGAGGGTTTTGGGAGTTTTTTGTTTGTGTTTTTTTTTTAAAGTCAGATTTAGTGGCAAGAATTGATGTCTTGGTGGCCTTGTTGCAAAGGCACCAAGAGGAATGCATACGTAACAGATTTACCTCCTCCTGTGCTGCGATGGTAATAAACTCTTATTTTTATTTTGCAGAAGGTTTAAAAGCTGGCTCTTGCTTCATGTGCTTGCCTTCCTTGCTCAGTATACCATCTTTGTGCTGCTGTGAGTCATCTCATTCATGAAAACACCAGAAAACAACTATCTTCTAGACTGGTTGTCATTTTCAATTAAATAGCATCTTCTCAAAGGTTTAAATTTCCCAGTTTAGTGCTCCAGGTTATGAGAACTTGCCTTTCCTGTAGTCAAATTTATTCTTTTTATGTTTCATTGAAAGCACCTGCTGTTTCAGCTTTGCTGGGTTATGTTTTTTCTCTGCCTTTATGTGGATTTCCAGGATGTGTCATGGGACATGTCTTACAGTTATCCAGGTCTTCATTTACCCATTTTAGTATTAGTACGGCAGTTGCGTATGTCCGCTCCTTTTGGGGTCCTTAGATGAAGGCATGTGGAACATTAGCATTTTAGAACGCTCATTCATGCCAGATCTTGAAAGATCTTGAATACAAACTTAGCAAGTATTTACATCCCCATGTACCAGTACATGCTCAGGGCTGACCTTCTGGAAACCAGCTCTGCAGATCAGGATCTTGGGGTCTTGCAGGACAGCAACCTGACCATGAGCCAGCAATGCAGCCTGACAGCAGAGGTGGCCAGCAGCATCTTAGGCTGTGTTGGGAAGAACATTGCTGGCAGATCAAGGGAAGTGATCCCTCCTCTCTCTTTAGCACTGGTGATGCAACATCTGGAGTGCTGTGTCTAGCTGGACCTGAGCTCCACAGTACAAGAAAGATACGGCCTTACTGGAGCGAGTCCTGCACAGGGCCATGAAAACAATGAAGGGACTGAAGTATCTGTCCATATGAGGAGAGGTTGAGAGCTGCAACTGTTAGGCCTGGAGAGGAGAAGGCTCAGGCAGATCATTTCAATATGTATAAACACCTGATGGGAGAGAATGGGGAGGAGGGAGCCGGTCTCTTCTCTGTAGTGCCCACTGACAGGACAAGAGGTGATGGGCACAAATTGAAATACATGAAGTTCCATCTAGCACGAGAATACCTTTTTTTTTTTTTTTTTTTTTTTTTTTTTTTTTTTTTTACTGTGAGGGTAGTTGAGCACTGGTACAGGTTACCCAGAGAAGTTGTGAAGTCTTTCTACCTGGAGATACTCAAAACTGAACCGAAACCAGTCCTGGGCAACCTGTTCTGGCTGACACTGCTAGAGGGGGTTGAGCTATATTCGCTATATTCTAAAGAGGACCCTTCCAACCCAGACAATTTTGTGATTTAGGCCTTGAGGCATGTGGGCAGAGTAGTGTTTTCACTCTAGCTTCTGTTATCAGGGGGTGAGCTTCTCTGCTTATTAAGTCTTCCAAGGTCATTTGCAGAGCTTCACTTCAGCATGTTGTGAAACAACGGTAATCAGAGATTCTGAATGGTAATTCGGTAATTCTGAAATTCAGGGAAGTTAAACTTGAAATACTCAAACTTGTGGACCCTAATTGCACTTTAATTGAATATGCATTTATACTGGTTCAATCCAAATTTCTGTTAAGCAGTGCTGCTCAAAACATAAAAAATTTTCATAGTCATGTTTCTGGGGACTTTGTTTTTCAGTGTATGTCTTCTGGGAGTAGAAGATTCCCCCAGAGTAGCTTGGTCCATAAGCATTTCAGTTAATGTCTTTTCTTGCTTTTATGATTGCACGGTGATGTGAGGCTGCTGCAGTTTAGTGCCCTGCCATTTCAGTTGTGAAAGAACTAAGCAAGAACGGCAGTCCTGCTGCCCCTTCATCTTTTTTGATATAAATACTGTATTGCAGTCAGATGATGCAACCCAAGCAGGGGTTTGCCCAGTCTGTAGGACCTTCATTCCTTCAGTCTAGAACTCAGAACTTGATTTTGTGTGCAGATTTCAAATCTCTCTGCACACTTTGTTCAGAATGAAGTTGTTTGTATCATGAACCCTTCTAGATAAGGTGCTAATAAGCTCGTAAGTCCCTGCTTAAGAGCCTGCATGCAGCCAGGATTGACAAGTACTTATCTTACAGTTCCTCTTTATCTGTTCTTTGTCTATGGTCTTGCTTTTCCTGCTCTGCCCACTCCCACTTTCTGCTTCCATGTAATGGAAACATGTCACTCTTATACTTAAAAATATCACCCAATGCTTCACAAGAGATCTGACACAGCATGATCACTTTCCTTCCTGTCATTCATTTGCATGCCTTCATATTTACATGAACCAGCAACGTGCACTTGCAGCAAAGGTGGCAAGTGGCATCCTGGGCTGCTTTAGGCAAAGCGTTGCCGGCTGAGGGAGGGGATGATCCTGCCCCTCTGCTCAGCGCTGGTGAACCCACCCCACTGGGAGTGCTGGGCCCAGTGCCGGGCTCCCCAGTCCATGAGGGACACAGACAGACTGGAGAGAGTCCAGCGAGGGGCCACCGAGATGCCGAAGGCCTGGAGCATCTCTGCTGTGGGGAAAGGCTGAGGGAGCTGGGACGGCTCAGCCTGGAGCAGAGCAGCTCAGGGGGATGGAATCCATGTCTGGCAGCGCCTGCGGGGAGGGGATGAAGCAGAGGAGCCAGGCTCTTCCAGCGGTGCCCAGGGACGGGACCGGGGGCCACAGGCACACACTGGACCCTGGGAGGATCCCTCTGAACATCAGGAAACACTTTTCAGTGTGAGGGTGACACAGACACAGGTTGCCCAGGGAGGTGATGGAGTCTGTCCTTGGAACTATTCAGAAGCTGTCTGGGCATGGTCCTGGGCAACCGGCTCCGGGTGTCCCTGCTTGAACAGGAGTTTGGACAAGGTGACCTCCAGAGTTCCCTTCCAACCTGAACCATTCCATGATTTTATGATTCTATATTAATTTCTGTGCAGAAGGATAACTCTCTCAAAGTACATGAATTGTTGTATGATATCAGCTCTCTGTTGCAAGTACCACTGTTTCTGCTTCAGTGGTATTTTCTCTGAAGTAAAATGTGGGCAATGGTTTAAGCAGATATTAGTTATACTACTCAAAAGCAGTGTCGGTAGATGTGGTGAGAACAAACATAGATGTAAGCAGCTGGGGGGCTGTTACCTGGCACTGTGAACTGCATGTAGTGAACTTTTCATACGCTGAACCTCTTTGCCCCTTCATCTCACTAGATATTCAACTGTTAAAAATAATAAATCATCTTGCTTCTCGCGACTCAGTGTTGCAAATAACTTTGCAAACACTATTTACAGTCCCTAATACAGATCTGCAGGGCTGTAGGATGCTTGTATTTTGTGACCAACTTAAATCTGCCACTGCTCTTCCTGTTTGACTCAGTGTTTAATGGCTGTATGCTTCTTTTTGTTTCCAAGAGCTTCCTAGTTGCTTATTTTCTAGGCTTTGCCCTCCCTAATAAAAATGCATTTGTCATCTTTGTGTGCAAATGAAGTGAACTGTGAAATGTGTTGGGTTTGTGTAGTCTTATACCCTCTTGCAGTACTGAAAAAGTCTTGAGCATATGAGTGCAGGGGATGATAATGTGGCCTCGTACCTATCCTGGCCCTGTGGCCATCCCTTTATAGTTGCAAACAGATGGTCTTGCATTCATTTGGTTATTTTTGGGTCTCTGTGGTGCTGGTACAGTGCAGCATAGGTAAGGTTGGTTAATCATCCCCTTGCATAGCAAGGCTGGGACTAATCTTAAGGTTAGCTGTTGATCCTTCTTGCTGTCATCTTGTTTTCCTCTGCTTTGTAAGCCTGCTGAAATCTGCAGTACGGTGTACTCGAGCACTTTACTAGAGAGTGGAGTAATATACTCTTGCTTTGGAGAATGCTTAGGCATTTGCAAGAGACCAAGTGATTCAACGGCTACTTCAGGAAGAAAGGAAGGACTGTTGGGCAGACTATCTTTCCTACTTGCAAGGAGGAAGTGTTAAATGCAGAACAAAGGTGGGTGTGAATTGGACATAGGACAAGAGGAAAATCTCTTCTGCAGCATGTAGTGTTTAAAAGGGCAAGTTGCTGTGTGATCGGGCATCTCTGCTAAAATCTGCCACTGGTGACATTTGGGAAGTAATACCACTGAGTGCCTTCTTGGCTGACATTCCTAATGACTGATGGCCCCTCTGATGAGCTGTCTGTTTACCCTGGTGACCTCTTTGCTCTCCATCTTTCATCAACAGTCATGGTTAACAGGGGAGGTCCCAGATGACTGGAGGCTTGCCAATGTGACACCCGTCTACAAGAAGGGCCTGAAAGAGGATACGGGAAACTACAGGCCTGTCAGCCTGACCTCGGTGCTGGAGAAGGTTATGGAACAGTTCATCTTGGGTGCACTCACCAAGCATGTGCAAGACAACCAGGGGATCAGGCCCAGCCAGCATGGGTTCATGAAAGGCAGGTCCTGCCTGACCTACCTGATCTCCTTCTATGACCTGATGACCCGCCTAGTGGATGAAGGAAAGGCTGTGGATGTTATCTACCTGGACTTCAGTAAAGCCTTTGACACAGCCTCCCACAGCATTCTCCTAGAGAAGCTGGTGGCTCATAGCTTAGACGGGTGCACTCTTCACTAGGTAAAAAACTGGCTGGAAGACCGAGCCCAG